GTAACGGTAAGGTAAGGTAGGTACGTAGAGACGAGAGTAGTAGTACGTATACGTAGTAAGTAAGTAACGAACGAAACGAAACGTAACGTAACCGTACGTACGTACGTACTACTACTACTCTCTCTCTCTCTCTCTCTCTCTCTCTCTCTCTCTCTCTCTCTCTCTCTCTCTCTCAAATTGCAATAAAGGTGTGATATTATAATCAAAACAGATCTTGATCAATAAAAAATCAGCTTCATTGTATTTTTATCGATTATCTCATGTAACTCATTGTAATATATTTTTCTTTTTTTATTGTATTTTGTGAGATTATATAAACTACACCTCAAACGAATATATAAAAAATTTTCTAAACATTTTTTATTGTTAAAAATTTGTACCAATATTACTCAAATCCAGGTCAGCAACTCTACCAGTAAAATGCAATAGTTGCATGAGTGTTTAGCCAATCTATTACTTATATGTTTAATGTTGGTCTTTTGCATGGTTTTAAATGCAGGCCTAGGGCCCAGTCATTACCCACCTACAGTATGAGGACGACACCCTTGTCTTTTGTGGTGCCTGCCACCAAGAGTTAAATTCCTTGTTTCTATTTCTTGAATGTTTCAAGTTTGCTACCGGGTTTAAGGTCAACCTTGCTAAATCCAAGATGATCAGGATAGCCCTAGATCAACAAACCACTCAACACTTTGCCACCAGGTGGGGTTGCCAGGCTGAAGCTTTGTCTACCACCTACCTAGGCCTACCCCTATATTTAAGAAAGCCAAAGAAAAGATCGTGGGCCCATGTCATAGATCAGGTCAACGATAGACTAGCGTGGTGGTAGGGACACTTTCTCGTGCCAACTGGCAGGGTAACTCTCATCAAATCTACTCTCTCCTTTTTCACATACATATAGCGGTTCTCCATCGCCTCGAGAAACTCATGCGAAACTTTCTTTGGTCAGGAGAAGCCAGTAGCATGAAAATCCACCTCATCTCCGAGGAGAAGGTTTGCCAACCAAGGAGATTCAAAGGTCTTGGCATTCATGACCAGAGAGAAGAATCTTGCACTCCAGGGAAAATGGTGGTGGAGACTGGCCACACAACCCCAACAACTCTAGATACAGGTATTTTCAACAGAAATACCATCTCGACCCTCACCATTGGATACCAGAGTGCAGGCCCAATAGTAGATCCTCGGGGGCTTGGAAGCCCATTCTCTCCTCCCTCAACCTCTTCAAGAGCTTCATTCGCTTTCACCCCAGGGAGGGCCATCAAGTTAGGTTCTGGTCGGACCATTGGATAGGCCATACACCCCTCAAAGACCTCTTCCCCTCCCTATTTCTTCTGGTTCACAATCACCTCTCCTCCGTGACTAATGAAATGGTTCTCTCTGGATTATCTTGGGCCTGGAACCCTTCGTTTTGAAGACCTTTGTCTGACCAAGAGGTTGGGTACTTCACCACCCTTTCCTCTCTTCTGCATAACACCTTCCTTGCCCACCATGGCCCTGACCTCATTATCTGGTATCCCTCCCCCTCGGGAGAGTTCTCAGTATCTTCATTCTATCAAAAGCTCCTTCAACCACCCACCTTCCCCTTATCCCCCACCTCCATGGCTGCCCAGGCATGGTTTGCACCCCCAAAAATCCAAACCTTTAAATGGATTGCCTTGTCCGAAAGAGCACTCACAGTAGATCACCTCCAAAGAAGGGGATTACCCATGCCCAACAGATGTGCAATGTGCATGGCCGACAAGGAATCAATCTCCCACCGCTTTATTCACTGCCCAATCGCAATGGAGATTTGGGGCTCTCTCCTCCAACTTTTCAGGTCGCAATGGGTCACCCCAAATCTATCCCCCTCATCTTCAAGTCACTTCAACCTTGGCCCAAAGCCAGTACCTTTTGTGGAAGGCGTCGGTAGCATCAACCCTTTGGGTTATTTGGATCAAAAGGACCAATTAAATTTTTAGGGGGGGGAGAGATCCTCTCTTGCTTCCATGTTCAGCAATATCAAATGCTTGGTTATCTTTTGGGCGACCAACCACAAATTTTGCAAGGGAGTACAGTGCTCTGCCTTCACCCAAGATTGGCAAGCTTTGCTCTACACTAGCTGGCCCCGTAACTCCCTGTGGAGACCCCCTAAACCAGGGCAGATGAAGCTGAACTTTGATGGCCGCTCCCTCGGCAACCCTGGTCCTGCCAGCATCGGTGGCCAACTCAGAAACCATGAGGGTCATACTCTAGCTTCCTTCTCTAAGCACATTGGTCACACGGACTCCTACTCGGCCGAGGCTTTGGCCCTCCTCAAGGGCCTCAAACTGTTTGCCCCTCAATGTAGCCCAATTTTAATGGTCGAAGTAGACTCCAAGAACATCATTCGTTGGGCATCAGGATCCAACACAGAGGACGACCTCAGAAGCACTCAACAACATTGCCTGATCCTTGATGTTTCTCTCTCCTTTACTTTTGCTGACATACCTTAGTGGGAAGGACTACCTTGAAGTGTCTTTTGCTCTCACCCTCGGTGATTTTTGCATATGCCTTCCAGCTTGAGGAAGTCCTTCCTTTTGTATAGAGCTCCCATTCTTTGAGAAGCTTATTTTTGTATGGTGCTCCTGCGCTGTGGGAAGCCTATTTTTTGCAAACTTGTACGGCACTCTTTAGTCAATAGAAAAGTTAACACATTCAAAAAAAGAATTTGTACCTAATGTACTCCCACCTAGGGAGCTTCCTGCATGTACCGATCCATTGCTCCTGCTTCCAACCCCGCCTGGCCTCCTGCCCGAGGTAACTATGGAAGAAACAGGTAAGTATGGGTTTGCACCTTTATGGTTTCCTGTCTTTCCAGAAGTAGCCCACACATCATTTTTGGAATCTTAAGTAGTGTTTGTTAGCAGGGAAAGCACATTGCTACAGTATATTCCCCCAATTTGATTATGAGGCAAATCCTGGGTCCAACACCTATGTACTCTATTTTCTGTCATTAGCAAGGAAACTAGCGCTCCAAGGTCCTCAAGTGCCGGTTACAGCAATGCCCCAGTTACAACTAATTTTTATCAAACAACCCCTTAAGCTTTCCAGCCATAGCACTCTGAACAGGCTGATTCATGCAATTCCACCAGATCGGCACCCTTATTAGCTATGGCATTGATCTTTTTGTAATGGTATCATTAATATAATACCATTGTCCTACCTTTAGTACTTATGAACATGCAGTTTACTCTAGTGACGAGTCAATACGGCCAAACCTTTTGAGCATTTATTCCTCTACAGAAAACAACCATTGCCAACACATTTCCATCTTTTGTAACACCATGGACATGCAATGCTGGCTAAAAAGATGCCTATATCCCTTCCGTCAAATTTACTAGAATGCAAGTACCTTCCCATGTTATGTTCTGATAACACCATCTGCAAGCACAAGACTCCACTGATTTGTATTCCAAACTTGCACTGCGAAGCACACATATAATACAAGTGGAGTTGGCTCTACACATGTGAGACATGTTTTCAAGTGATTCGGTAATAATAGTTCATATATGCACCTGGGTGTTGAATAACTATAGTACAGATAGCAATTGTTTATCTTTGTTCTTTCTTCAAGATGCAAGATCAAAAATCTGAAATGTGGAATTGTGGATATTCGAAGCTTTGCATGGCAGATAAATCAATGGCACAAATATATTCAGTAAAACAGAAAGAGAAATGCCACAGTCAACAACTGCATGACTAAATGAGGAAATCATACCTTGGAGGAGAGCGGCTGTAGCTCCGACTACGACTGCGACACCTGTAACGACTTATTCTATTTGTTTCTGCAAGCTTTTCTTGCCTTTGCCGCTCTTGTTCACGCTTCTTAGCCATTTCAACAACGGTATCCTTTTTAACTGTGAACAATACAAGATACTACTTTTCATTTACAAGACCAAACTTTGGAATAACCATATCCATGCAGATTTCCCAACAAAATTTAAATAAATGCAGTTCTCCAATCCGATGCTGACTTATATAAAGAAAACAAGCAGTGTCCAAAATATAGATTTTACTTTGCTTATTCAGCTGCTTGCTCATTATCCTTTTAAGACGTTCCTGGGGAGTTTCCTTTTTCTCACTCTGTTGTGGCTTTACGGAAGCCCCAATAGCAGTTGGCTTACTTAACTTTGCCAAAGCTGATGACGTGCTGAAGTCAAAACATGCAAAAGTGAAGCAACAAACAAGCGAAAATCGGTAGCTGTTTATTTCAACTGCCTACTTCAATCATAAATGTTATCTCAAAAGTTAAACAATAGGCAACAAAATCCTAAAGATGGAGCTCTTGGTGCTCTAAGAAACCTGTTTTCGGCATTGGCAACTATCCTGGCTAGATAAAATGGGAGGATGACCATGGTCATGCAGACATGGTGTACATGAGAAGTATTAGTATGGCATGTGCTCCAAATAATAAATACCTAACGGATGATGCTTTCAACACTTTTGTGCTCTTCTCCTGACCAAGAGAGACAGAGGATGCAGGATCATTATGCAGGGCCTCAAGTATACGACCAGTTGATGGCCTGCAAAGATGCAGAAGCATTAGATGATGCCAATTTCAACAAAACCAATACCTCTAGTGTCACTTTGGAATTGATGAGACAAATTTATATAGAAAACAGATCGTCATATATGCACTTCTGCAGAAGCACCCAATAAGGACTTCATTAGTCAGCTCCCAACTTCCACTATGTTTTCTCTGCTATCATGTTAACCCCTAATGCCTGATCTACCCCAAACCCCACAATTTTCGGTCTTAGGTAACCATGAGCAGCTCCAGAATAAGCTGCACTAGAGAAAACATTGTCCAAGTTATCTGTGCAGATCTTAAAGGTCGAGTGCTCCGACCGGTTAGGTACATCAGCTTGAAATGGAGGAGATCGTGGTGGAGAGACTCCTTCCAGCTTCTGATCATCCATGTCACCAGAGCCTCCAAACTCTGTAATGTACTCTATCTTTGAAGTCCTTGATCTGCTTTGGTGCCCGATGTCATAATATGCTCCACGATCATGACGTCTTGAATATGAAGGCGAACGTGAGCATGACCTGGATCTTGATCTCCTATAAGACGAATTCTCTATCAAAAATGGTAAAATGCAATGAAAAGGTGACTTACAAGGGCACCGTACATGATCATAATGCATAGAGAAAGAGACAGAACTCTTACATCCGAGAACGTGAATAAGCTTCATAGGTAGGGCTTCGCCGAGGCTCCCTGCAGAATCAAGAGAAAGATGATAAGTGATACATGGAAGAGGTAGAAAAGCACAGGCTAAATATGCATGAGAAACCTGCAAATTAAGCCATAGTGGCTCTGAAAAATATAAGTCTCCAGAAATCCACCAGTACAAAGGAGGTCTCCGACTGTACCTGTAGGGGTCATGGTGGGACTTGCGGCTCCCTATCACGCGGGCAGCTTCCCTTTCTCTTTCTCTTTCCATCTGAGAAGCCTTTCTTCTTTCCTTACGGCTGAGCTTTCTCTGAAAATTTACAGTACTTTCTTAGAAGGTAAATGCATCCTTAGATTAACAATAACAACCAAGGCTATTAATATAAACTCTGTAATAAATATGATGATCTTACCATGGACGGATCACCTTTAACAACTTCTTTTTGTCGTTTCTCTTCTTCCCTGGCCTTCCTATCCATGTAAACAAGCCAACTAAATCTTTTCACTCCAAATTCTTTTGCAATTAAATCCATTCCTTCATTGTCACTGTCATCACTAGTACTGTCTTTCTCATCATCATCATCCTCATCATCAACATCACTCTCCAAAAGCTGGGGTTCATCCTTCCCATCGTCTTCATATGAAAATCCCACTTGAGTGTAGGAACCTTTGTTTGCTGGAGGTTGCACCGGGTAGGATCTATATACTCCAGAAAAATTGAATCGATACTCAACAAGTGGAACTCTTTAAAAATCATATAAAAGATTGCACAAATGTAAGAAACTTTAACACCTAAGACACGAATTGACACATTTAACAGAACATCGTAAGTTTACACCAGATAAACATCTCACCACATGGTCCTCAAGATCAGAATAAAAAACAAAGGATATCAAATCAAGTAAAGAATCTGAAAAGATGAGCATATATTGGCCGTTGTAAATGTTAAAGTTTTTTTTTTTTGAGAGAAAGTTAACATTATATTAAAGAGGAGGAAGATTACATAAGAGTCCGACGTCACCCACAGATGGTAACTCGGTAAAAAATTGTTTAGTCTGTCATGTACAAAATGGGCTTAAAGTTTATGGTTCTTTTTGTTTTTAAGTCCATAAGGACTAATTTGTTATTTTCCTTGCTTAAGGGACATTAGTAAATTTAATTATATTCTGCACACACACAATCACGTACATATATATATGGGAAGTGATTTCACATTACCATGTCATTGTAATATAATGAAACAACACTACTAGAAAGCCATATTTCTGCCATTTGTATGACCGAAAACCCCTAAATATTGCACACATCCTGTCTTCATCTCAAAAAATCAATCCCCCAGAAAAAAAAAAAAAAATCCGCAACCTAGATATGGTCATTATGAGTTCCTATCCGAAAATAAATATAGACCATCCATTTGACGAATTTCAAAACCAAAGCTTTTACAAACTCGAAATCATTTTTTTGTTTTAACATTGCTCATCTAATGATAATAAAGACATCTAAAAAATTCAAAAAGGGAAAAAATTCCTTTCAAGGCATAGATCTAAACGTCTCACCAAAATGGACGGCGTATGTTAACTGTGCTAAAAAAACACTTTCTAAGGTTTGTTTTCAAATTTGGCTTTTTTGTGATTGTTCATTAAAATGAAAAGGTTGTATATTTGAAAAATTGAGGTCAAACAAATGGACACAACATATGGCTTTAAGATTGTTTTAGTATATTCCATTAGAACCATTGCATGAAATCACTTTATGTATGGCAACGAATTACGTTACTCTCTCTCTCTCCTTTATTTGTCTCTCTAGATCACCTTCTTCCTTATTCTCTTTCTTCTTATTCTTTTGATTGCTGCAATATATTTTAACTTGGTACCAAAGCAAGAGACTGAACACAAAGAAGCAAATCCTTCACATGATAAGTGGGAAACTGAAAATCGGATTGTAATGTCTTGGTTATTACACTTTGTGCAACAAATGATTGGTAGGGGTGTCTTGTTCCTTCGAACTATGAGAGAGATTTGGGACTGGGTAATACTAGACTTACTTGCAAAGCAAAAAAGCCACTTGAGTGTACCAACTAAGGCAGGAAATTTTCCATCTTTCTCCTTCCTTCGTAGCATGTGGGAGGAGGTAGACCACTATTAAGAAGATGGGCAGAAATACAAGCAGTTTGTGGAACAAAATTTTTATTTTTGAGTTCTCAACAAGATTGAACTTGGCCTTGAGTTAGCTAGGGTTCAAATACCCAGAAAGGATGTTGTTCCATTGCTCAACTAGGTGCATTACTGTGTCCAAAGAGGGGGGAGTAGAAAAATGACATGCTATTTTCTCAAGTAATTGATCATTCTACCATTAGCCCTGCCACATTACCTATGTACCTCGAAAATTTAGAAAAGAGGATCCCAATTGAGGACATAAAAGTAGGTTGAAATGTGAACATTGTGGCAGAAATAGTCATATTAAAGAAACTTATTGGGATTGATATTGTCAGCCAGCTAAATTCAACCGCCCATATTAGGTTAATGCTGACAACGCTTCATCCACTAGGGTGCAGTTGTTGTTATTACTGATCAGCAATTACACAGTACTTCTAACCTACAAGTTTTGCTCCAAAGGAGATGATATCAGTTCCTAACGAGGAGATTGAGAGCCTTCACTGGTTGTTTGCCCAGTTAGATGGCCCATCCCACTACCTTTTGCTTCATCCTTCGCACACTTGAGTATCGATGCTTCTCTCTTACTCCTAGACAATCTTAGGTTATTGATTCAGGAGCCTAACCCACATGACCGTTATGCCTCCATTGTTTCATTTTTATTTCATTTATTTTGGTCATAGGTGCGATAACCTTGAGGGTCGGTCTACATACGTGTAGGATCCCTCCGAGGAGAGGAACTATACTATTAATTGAACTACTCCTCCTCTCCTTAGTATTATAGATTTATTTCTTTGCAGTATGTTAAATTGTGGTGCATACCACATTGTCGTTTACTATAACTATGGTATTCAAAAACTATAGTTTAATATCGTAGTAAGCCAATTTATGATATTATTAAATTGTATTATTGTAGTGAATTAGAGTATTATAACTATGGCATCGTTGGTAAGCTAAGGTGTATGATAATGGACCGAGCGGGCATTGTCTCGATCCTAATTCTATCATATATTATAAAATGATCTTGTTTATGTATAGTTGAGATTAAATCCCTCCAAGTCAAAACCTCTATCAGAGTGACATGAGATCTTGCTCATAGGTATCCTAAGATCTAGCTCCTTGCTGAATGTACAGACGTTGATCCTAATCCCAGGGAGCTTCCAACATATGGCGATTTGGTGTTCCCCAAACTGCTCCCCACTCCCCTTTAACTATGATTCTAGTAGAGACAAAGTTAGGATTGCTTATGGATCTTTTCCTCTATTGCTGGAAAAGGACTTGTTAATATTTCTCTTCAAATGTCATTTTCATCAGTTCTTCATGTTCCCAACTTTGCTATAAACTTCTATTAGTAGCATTACCAAGAGTCCAAAAGTAGTATAACCTTCTTTTCCTTCCCATTGTGTTTTTTAGAACCTAGATACGAGGAAAACGATTTGGCAATGTCATGAAGCTAGTAGTCTCTACATTCCAGACTCAACAACAACTACTACTCAAGCTCTTCAACCAGCACCAGTGTTAATAAAGATTGGATTTGGCAGTGCCATCTCCGACTTGGATATTTGTCTTTTCAGTCATTGAAAGTTTTGTTTCCAAAGTTGTTTATCTCGACTAGTGTGTCAAAGTTTCAATGTGAGGTATGTGAACTGTCACAACATTTTACAAACTCTTGTTACCTAGTTATAATAATATTTTTCCTTTTACTATTATACATTTCAATCTATGTTTCAGGTTTGTCTCATGTTATATCTATTTTTGGTTATTGTGTTTCATTTCTTTTGTGACTGATTACTTTGGATGTACCTGCATCGACCTTATGAAGACCAAATAACAAGATCCTCACACAATTTGAAACTAAAATTACAGTACTTCAATCTGATCAATGTGAGGAATATTGCAATTGGAAGTTGTTATCCTATTTGGAGGAACATTGTATAGAATGTCAAAATTATTGCTCATACACAACACAACAAAATGGTGTGGTTGAAAGCAAGAATAGACATGGTCGTGCTCTTCTCTTGAATATTAATGTAGCCAACAAATTATGGCCCAAAGTTGGGCTTGTTGCATCTTATCTTACCAATTAAAAGTCATCTCGTGTTCTAAACTACAAGTCAACATAAACTTCTCCATCACGATTGTCTACTGCTTAGTTTTCCTCATAAAGTCTTTGATTGTGTTTGTTTTGCTCATGTTCTTGTTCTGTATTGTACAAAGTTGGATCCGATCATCATCCGAGCCGTATCCCAACTATTTGGGATTAGCTACATGGATCTTGTTCTACCATTCAGCTCTATCAAGGGTCATGCCTGCCCTCAGTCAGACCATAAGTCACCATATCTCCCACTTTTTCCATTCATATCCTTATGGGCATTCCCCTTGCCTTTTTAGAGCCTTCCACTTGAATTAATTCAGACCTCCTAACCAGTGTTGTATTAGGTCTACATTGCACATGGCTAGCCACCTAAGTCCACTTTCCCTCATCTTAGCACCTCTTAGAGCCACCCCTAAGTTCCCTCATATATATTCATTCCGAATGATATCCTTTCTTGTCTTGCCACTCATCCATCTCAACATTCTCATCTCAGTTAGACTCAACCTATAGATATATTGTTTCTTGATGGCCCAACATTCTATCCCATAAAGCATGGCTACTCTTACAACCGTCCCATAAAACTTCCCCTTTAGTTTCATGGGTATGCAGCAATCACATAAAACTTTGGGTGCACATCGCTTCTTCGCCCACTCAGCTCGAATTCTATGTGTGATATCATTATCAATCTCTCCATTCTCCTGGATTATCGACTCAAATATCGAAATAATTTCTTTTAGGTATTCCTTGGTCATCAAATTTAACTACTTTCTAGTTTCTACTCCTATTATTACTAAACTTGCATTCCATATATCTTGTCTTAGTCTGGCTAATGGTAAAACCTTCAAATTCTTTGATCATCCCTCCAAAGTTCTAATTTTGCGTTGAAGTTGCCTCTAGTCTCATCAATCAAAACTATGTTAACCACGAATAATATGCACCACAATACCTCATCCTGTGGATACCTAGTTAATTCGTCCATAACCAAAACAATGAAATATGGGCTTAACACTGACCCTTAATGTAGGCCTATTGTCACTAAAAACTCGCTTCTCTCCATTAGTTGTCAGCACACTAGTTGGCGCTCCCTTGTACATGTTTCTCACCACATCAATGTATCATCTAGAGACTCCTTTCTTTTACAACACCTACCAAATTAGTTCTCTAGGTACCCAATCGTATGCTTTATCTAAATCAATAAAGACCACGTGAGAGTCCCTTCCCTTCTCTTTAAACGTCTCAATCAGTTCCTCAGTAGGAAAATAGCCTCAATTGTTGACCTCCCTGGCATTAAGCCAAACTGATTTTCTGATGCACTAGTTACATGTTTTAGTCATTGCTCAATCACTCTCTCCTAGAGCTTCATAGTGTAGCTCATAAATTTGATCCCTCGATAGTTCGTACAATTATGTATGTCTCTTTTATTCTTGTAAATAGGTAGGACAGTACTTTTT